GAAAGAGAGAGGTGGTGTGTTGGGGGGTGGGGGGGGGGGGGGGGGGGGGGGGGGATTAGCCCCACTGCAAGGGGAGTTGTTTTTTTTCTGGAGATAACCCCCCCCCAAACCTAAAGCAACCTTCCCAGATGCACACTTACCTCCATCCCACGGCCCGCAACAATGTTCACAATACATTCTTGGGGACACTCCATGTGTTGCTTGTTCCTGTATAGTAGATCCCTATAGAACAGGGGTAGGCAACCTCGGCACGTCAGCTGCTGTGGAACTAGAAGTCCCATGAGGCATTGCAAGACTGACAGCCACAGACATGACTCCCAGAAGCAAGGGCATGATGGAAGTTGTAGTTTCAGCACAGCTGGAGTGCTGAGGTTGCCTCCCCATGTTATGGACATTATAGAGGCCAGAGACACTCATAAAAGTCTATGAGGATCTACTGTGCAGACATGGCCAGAGGAAATCTGCTACAGGATGGCGAGGTATGTATGAACCCGGGGGGGGGGTTGGGGGGAGACTAAGTGCACATATCCTTTAGGATAAATTAAAGGGACACTAAACTCCGGAGTTAAATGATAAAAAAACATTCAGGTCCCTGAACTATGAACAACAATGTATCTTATTTGTGTATCACTCGGCTGTAGATCCTCCAATCATCTCTGAATTGGTGCTGACACTGTCCTTCCTTCTGGAGGGGGGCTACTTTTGTTCCCCATGGTCCCTGTATGTGTTGTAAAGTAGTCACAGCTCCAAGCTCACTCCCATAATGGACTATAATCTCAATGCAAATCGGTAAACTAAACATGAGATTGTAGTCCATCCCGGTAGCGACCTTGGAGCGGTGACTACTAACACACACAGGGACCATGGGGAACAAAAGTAGCCCCCCTCCAGAAGGAAGGACAGTGCCAGCACCAATTCAGAGATGATTGGAGGATCTACAGCCGAGTGATACACAAATAAGATACATTGTTGTTCATAGTTCAGGGACTGGAATGTATTTATAAGATTTATCTCCAGAGTTTTGCGTCACTTTAAGTGACAAGTTTTGATTAGAAGCTCAGTTGCTGTATCACTGCTGCCTCCATATCATGGTGGGATAACACTGCCACCCTGTGGTCATTAGGTGGTACTACAAGCACACACCGATCATTGGCCCCCCTATAGACCTCCATGTTATTGGGGTTCCTCTGGGTATCTCTGTAGCTGCAGCGATGAGTTGCAGATCCTGAAAACAACGTCCTCTAATGAAATCAATGACGGGGATGATCCAGTATGGGATTGGGAGAAAGGCTTCATTTATATTTATGAGGTTGTTCCAGGACTTCTCCTAAAATGATCAATTCCAGGTGACATGTGAAAGGGATCAGTGAGCTGCGAATGGTGTCCAGCAAAAACTGCAACCGTACTAAAGTTATAATGTTCACTCCATTCATCTCAATCTGCATTTGCTGTAATCCACTGCAGGCCGAGTGCAGAGGGAACCTCACAAGGTGACTGGGATGGTACTTCCTGAAGCCAGCGCTATGGAACTTCCTCTCTCCCTCTGCTTCAGATGAACTCAAACTCAGACCAAACCTGAGCTCATCCCTCGTCTTTACGGGACACAGGACACTCCATTCACAACTGAAAACTAAACTAAAATGCCCCGATGTTTGCGCTATGTTTTTTTTTTTTTTTTCACTTACCTTCGGCGCGGGAGAGCAGCGGCAAGTCAGCGCTGGTCCGGTGGGAGGAGAGCCCCTCCTCCCTACCCTGCTATCATGGAAGCCTCCGTGTCCAGGGCACATAGAGGGGGCTGCAGGCCAGCCTCCTATAGCAAGCTCCATAGTCCACGGAGTCACTAGTAATTGGGGAAATGTGGCACCCCGTACCAGGGGGGAAGAAATAGTCCCAACGCCCCCCTTGTACCCACCTCCCAAAAACAGAACCCCTCTCTAGGCCAAGGTCCATAGTCGCTGGGAGGAGGCTGCCCAGGACATGGAGGCTTCCGCCGTGACACCCGGGGTCACCGCACACTGCCTGCACGGTAGATACCAGTCCCATCCCATCGCTCTCTCTTACCTTGTGTTTGGGACATCGTAACGAGAAGTTCTCTTCACTTAATAAGCAACCTGAAACCGGAAGACAAAACGTCATTTATTACACGGGAACTGCACAGTACATACAACACGGTCCTCATCTACTGCACGGTACATACAACACGGTCCTCATCTACTGCACGGTACATACAACACGGTCCTCATCTACTGCACGGTACATACAACACGGTCCTCATCTACTGCACGGTACATACAACACGGTCCTCATCTACTGCACGGTACATACAACACGGTCCTCATCTACTGCACGGTACATACAACACGGTCCTCATCTACTGCACGGTACATACAACACGGTCCTCATCTACTGCACGGTACATACAACACGGTCCTCATCTACTGCACGGTACATACAACACGGTCCTCATCTACTGCACGGTACATACAACACGGTCCTCATCTACTGCACGGTACATACAACACGGTCCTCATCTACTGCACGGTACATACAACACGGTCCTCATCTACTGCACGGTACATACAACACGGTCCTCATCTACTGCACGGTACATACAACACGGTCCTCATCTACTGCACGGTACATACAACACGGTCCTCATCTACTGCACGGTACATACAACACGGTCCTCATCTACTGCACGGTACATACAACACGGTCCTCATCTACTGCACGGTACATACAACACGGTCCTCATCTACTGCACGGTACATACAACACGGTCCTCATCTACTGCACGGTACATACAACACGGTCCTCATCTACTGCACGGTACATACAACACGGTCCTCATCTACTGCACGGTACATACAACACGGTCCTCATCTACTGCACGGTACATACAACACGGTCCTCATCTACTGCACGGTACATACAACACGGTCCTCATCTACTGCACGGTACATACAACACGGTCCTCATCTACTGCACGGTACATACAACACGGTCCTCATCTACTGCACGGTACATACAACACGGTCCTCATCTACTGCACGGTACATACAACACGGTCCTCATCTACTGCACGGTACATACAACACGGTCCTCATCTACTGCACGGTACATACAACACGGTCCTCATCTACTGCACGGTACATACAACACGGTCCTCATCTACTGCACGGTACATACAACACGGTCCTCATCTACTGCACGGTACATACAACACGGTCCTCATCTACTGCACGGTACATACAACACGGTCCTCATCTACTGCACGGTACATACAACACGGTCCTCATCCACTGCACAGTACATACAACACGGTCCTCATCCACTGCAGACTACACAAGTGCCACCCTGCAATATACATGCTACCCAAACGAAATGCATGCCATGTGTCTTCATGTATGTACTGACTATCAACACTGATCTAGTTTGTGAGAACTAACATCTTGATGCCTTTTTCGTTCCCATGCTTTGTGTTTGTTTGGCTGCCTGCCCCCTCACATGCAAGACGAATATAATTCCAGGGAAGGAAAGGGGGAGGGGAAGGGGGTCAGCCTGGGTAACACTTTATGCTTTTACTGTTGTGAGAGCTCATCACAAAATATGTACTAAAGTCAGTCATTGAGCCCTATGGGCGCTTTTCATTATACAGACTTTTGCCATCGTCCCCCCCGCCCCCCCACGTGGCGTGTTGGCCGCTTTGACTCACCTGCCTCCATGGCACACGTGTAGTGGTAGGACTGGACACAACCCTTGTGGCTGCAGCCCACGGTGGCCCCCGGCTTCTGACACTTGGGACACAGCTGTAAGACAGAATAGGAGAAGTTAGCGTTGGCAGCGGCAGACACTGGTCCTCCGGGGATGAGGTTATACGGGGTCAGGGTTGTGATTCATAGCTATTGCACGCCACTTCCCAGAATCCTCAGCGGCGGCAGGAATGTCTCTGTGTGGACTTGTCTAAGAAATGTCAACAGGAACACAATGCCTCCATCTGCGGTCTGCTGGCCGATGTGTACATTGTGTTCCCCCCGGAGCCCCACACAGGCCTCAGACACGGAATGTCAACACTAAAACTTTATTTCTTCGTATATGGACATAGAGGGGAAGGACTGGAACCCCTGTCAGGTTCCTACTGCCATCCAGGGCCCCGTTAGAGAGACACTGTATAGTATCAATGGATGAGAAGGGATTTGTGTTAGGGCTACAGAAGAACTTCCACACTTGCCTCCTTTCCATAACATTGGGGGAGGCGTTTTGTAGTTCATTGAGAGAGCTGGCCGGCACTGATATCAGTGCCTGAGACGTGAGCACAGAGAGCGCAGGTACTGACAGGCTCGCTGGATCTCTGGTGGGATTAACAGTAGGGATGCACCGATACCAATACTAGTATTGGTGCCGATGCCGAGTATTTGGGCGAGTACTCGTACCGGCCCAAATGATCCGATGCCTAACCCGATACTTCTGGTACCAGAAAGCCGGGCAGCGAGTCATTACACATTGCCCGGCTTCCTGATTGGCCGGGAAGCTGGCTCCATGCTCTCTCACCCAGAGATGACTTCCCTGCTAATAAGGAAGCCGGGTGTCGAGTCATTACACGCCCCTGGCTTCCTGAATGGGACTCGGTGCATCCCTGGGTAACGGGTATTCTTTTTGCAGTTTTTAAACAGCTATAACACCTTTCATAGCGTATTGAACGGGCCGAAAGGGAGCAAATAAGAGAAGTTCGTTGTTGTTTTGGGTTTATTTCACTTTAAGCCAATTAGAAACAAGTATTCGCAGCTAGAAAATCCGATCTATTGCACTACCCGCCCTCTGCCAGTAGGTGGCAGAATACAACAGTGCAGCATCACACCGACTTCAACCTTATTATGAAATATAAAAACAGAACAAAATCACGTTTTTAATGTTCTGCGTGCGAGTTTCGCCATTTCATGTTTTGTGTCGATGACATAACTGAGGAACGTTATATAAGATGCATGGGGGATGCACAAAGGCCCTTGTTATGTCGGCTGTTGCCTGGTGACCAGAAATAAAAATGATTACTTGCACAGCTTGGGTGTGCCGTTCCCTTCATTGCACGCCAAATGATATAAAATAATGGCGGTTTTATAAACCTTCCCGGAGAAAAGTCTGCAGGGCCGCAATAAAGGGAGCTTTCCAGTTTCCTATTTGGGTGCGGATGGGCCTGCTGCAAGGGTCAGGCCGCTCAGGACTGATAGTTCCAGTTCGTTTGGTCTGAGTTTCCCCTTTGGCCTTATTATGTCTTTTGGGAAAACAGGGGGTAGGATACCCGAGGAGGGTTCCCAGCTCTGCCCATCTACGTCAGTGACTACAAGAGGGTCTCACTGTTACATCAGGAGAGATGCTCCCTTGTTCAGCTTTGTGACGTCAAAAAACAGAACATCCAGCTGGGCTGCGTCGGGAGTTCTGAGGATGTATAAGAGACGGTTGGTGATTCAGCCCAGCAAACAAAGCAGAACTCCACAAAAATGACCTTTAAAGGGTAAAAAAAAGCAGCTCTGCAATACTCACCTTTAGTTTGGAGCTGTGCCCTGCAGTACTCCTTCTCTGCCACTAGAATCCCCCAATCTTGTATCTGTGCCCTGCTGTACTCCTTCTCTGCCACCAGATGCCCCCAATCTTGTATATGTGCATTGCACCTTCCCTGCCGCTAGATGCTCCCAATCATGGAGCTGTGCCCTACAGTAATCCTTCTCTGCCACCAGATGCCCCCAATCTTGTATCTGTGCCCTGCAGTACTCCTTCTCTGCCACTAGATGCCACCAATCTTGGAGCTGTGCCGTGCAGTACTCCTTCTCTGCCACTAGAATCCCCAAATCTTGTATCTGTGCCCTGCAGTACTCCTTCTCTGCCACTAGATGCCCCCAATCTTGTATCTGTGCCCTGCAGTACTCCTTCTCTGCCACTAGATGCCACCAATCTTGGAGCTGTGCCGTGCAGTACTCCTTCTCTGCCACTAGAATCCCCCAATCTCGGCCACTAGATGCCCCCAATCTGGTAGCTGTGCCCTGCAGTGCTCCTTCTCTGCCACTAGATGCCCCCAATCTTGGAGCTGTGCACTGTAGTACTCCTCTGCCACTAGATGCCCCCAATCATGGAGCGGTGCCCTGCAGCGCTCCTCCTCTGCCACTAGATGCCCCCAATCTTGGAGCGGTGCCCTGCAGTGCTCCTTCTCTGCCACTAGATGCCCCAATCTTGGAGCTGTGCCCTGCAGTACTTCTTCTCTGCCACTAGATGCCCCCAATCTTGGAGCTGTGCCCTGCAGTATTCCTTCTCTCCACTAGATGCTCCCAATCTTGGAGCTGTGCCCTGCAGTACTCCTTCTCTGCCACTTGAATCCCCCAATCTTGTATCTGTGCCCTGCACCTTCCCTGCCGCTAGATGCTCCCAATCTTGAAGCTGTGTCCTGCAGTACTCCTTCTCTGCCACTAGATGCCCCCAATCTTGGAGCTGTGCCCTGCAGTACTCCTTCCCTCCACTAGATGCTCCCAATCTTGGAGCTGTGCCCTGCAGTATTCCTTCTCTGCCACTAGATGCCGCCAACCTTCCTGGCTAATTGATAATTCACTTGATCCAGGTTGTCATGAACCTGTCCCCTTGGATGCGGTGATCACACAACCTGGGTTGCAAGCTCTACTGCACTGAACAGTACTCACACGTCATTACAAAGCTACAGGAGAGGATCCACAAAGCTAGAGTTCCCCTTTCAACCATACCCGAAATATCAGTTTTGAGGTGACAACCTTTAATTAGTCACTGCAAGGCGTAAGGACCAACAGCAACCCATGTGAGCGTTTAGAGCCAAATCAGATCTTTTACTCCATTGGATTAGAAAAAATCTGACACCTCATTATGGCCACTAGATGGAGCTGAGGAGCATAGCATTTTCCTGTACTCCTCGGCTCCATCTAGTGGCCATAATGTGTTGTGCATGTAAAAGTCAGATTTTCGCAGAACGAAGAGCTCTGCGAACATTTTATAAAACACACTCCATAATGTCTTATTAATATGCAACATCAGGACACGGAAAGGACAACAACATCTGTATTGCATACCCATGTACCTATGTAATATACCTTTGTATGGCTTTGGGGCCACCCATATAAAGGGCACCCTGAGGGGGTCAGATTGTGAAAAACAAAACTTGGGTGTACGTTACATTAAAGTTCTGAGGTGCTGAATGACAGTCAAGTTGGTCACACCTTCCCCGGGTTTTCAGCACACACAAAGTGCAGTGTTTATATCCCTTGCCCTTTTTCCGTACAGAACTGTTTTTAATACTTAACTACAGGCATGTTTTAAGTTGCCTTTCGCAGTCAATTAAATGCATGCCTGCACTAGTAGAATACAAGAGGAACATATTTTATCCTTAAAGCTGAACTCCAGGCAAACAGCTTAAAAGGAGAACTATGGGGTTAAGGCTTTTCCCCATAGTTCTCCTTAGGGTAACGGGAGGACACAAACTAGCATCCTCCCGTCACCCTAGGCTCAGTATACCATGAGCGGTAGCTCGCGGTATACTGAGACGCCGCAGCTGAAGCGGATCCCGACAATTGTGCCGGGATCCGCCCAGCTGCGTGACTGACAGCTGGCTCTGCCTATCTAAAGGCAGAGCCAGCTGTACCCGCCCCCTCCCCCATCCGTTCCGCCAGTCAGCACTGGCGGATCGGAGCGGGGAGGGGGGAATCCAGCCCCTCCCCTGTCACGGCAGAGAGCCGTGACAGGATCGAGAGGTGAGCGAACGCCAGTATGTGTTCGCTCACCTCCCGATCTACTGAGCCGACCTGTGACAGTCTCATTGTCACAGGTCGGCTAGAACTATGAGGTGAGTGGAAATCACTCACCTCATAGTTCTGCTTTAATACAGAGTTCAAATACCTATATGGGAAAAGTCCTCACTGCCAAAGAATTAACATTTCTCTCCATCTAGCCATAACAATCTATAAATCAGCAGAGCCAGCCTGAGGACCTAACTTTTCTCAGATGCAGTTAGGCAAGACAGCCTGGTCACCACTCTGCTCATGCCTGTGATTGGACAGTGAAGGAGCAGCAGACTCATGGACATGTGCATGCAGGACACCTAACTTGGCCCTAGGATTGAATGCTTCTTAATAAACACATACACTATATAGCCAAAATTAAGTAGACCTGCTTCCAAATTTGAGTTTACGTGGCTCCAGAGAATGCTTTTGTTAATGCTACAGCATAAAAAGACATTTAGACAACTGTGCCCTTCCATCAGCTTGGGGAAGGTCCTTTTCTGTTCCAACATTACTGTGCACAAAGCCAGCTCCATAAAAGACATGGCATGATGAGTTTGGTGTGGAGGAACTTGACTGTTCTCCGCAAAGCCCTGACCTCCAACTGCAAGCTAGGTCTTCTCTTCCAACATCAGTACCCGACCTCACAAAGGTCTTTTTGGCTGAATGAACAAAAATTCCCCTAAACTCTTGGGGACAACCTCCCCAGAAGAGTGGAGGCCAAATCCATATTCATACCCTATGGTTTTGGAATGGGATGTCCAACACATTCCTATAGGTGGGATCATGGGTGTATCTACCGCAAGGCAAACTAGGCATTTGCCTAGGGCGGCACTTTCCAGGGCGGTGGCAGAAAACGCTGCCTCAAACAGCGTGAGGCGGACTGGGGTGGACTTGCCTTTGGGCATACTGAGCACTTGCCCAGTGGGCGAGGCTGGGCGGCACAGAATCAGGCAGTGGCGGCGCCTGCCTAATGAGGAAAACTAGGCGGCCGCAAGGCCCTAAGAAAGGCTGTCTAACTAGAGAGCTGCCCAATGGAGGGAATGGCCCAGTGAGATGTGGTCCGGCTGGCTTTGTACAGCAGGTGGAGAAGCAGCGGGTGGCTCGGGGCTGGCCATAGCATGTGATCTGATGGTGGGATGTCCCAGAAGCAGGCTGGGGGACTGCAATGTATCCATTTGGTACTGATGGCATTTCAAGCTGCAGGTAAGAGGAGCAGCACACTTATGCAGGGAAAGGTACTCTGTACAGTCCTCCTGAGACCCTGCACAGCCCACCATAGAGACCACACAGCCCACCATAAACCCTGCACAGCCCTGCTGAGACCCCGTACAGCCCACCTGAGACAATGCACAGCTCTCCTGAGACCCCGTGTGCGCTGTATCCAGTGACTGACAGGTTGTGCAAAATGCCCTAAACAGGATGGGGTGGGGCAAATTTAGATAGTGGGGGGTGCCCGAGTTTAGTCTTGCCTAGGGCAGCACAAAACCAAAATACACCACTGGGTGTGATGGTCAGGTGTAGACCAACTTTTGGCTTTATAGTATAACTGCACTCACTGGCATTTGTTTAATATCTGCGCGTAGTCCAGCTTTGCATAATTGAATTCATATCAAACACATGACAAATATAAATCACTCACCCCTGAAGCTGCCATCTGAATGGCTTCATGGATGCCGTACAGTTTCCCAGCTACCAGGTAAACGCCGCTGGTCCACACTGCACAGGCCTCGTGCACCCAGTGCTCTTGCGTTTCTGGCTCTGCAGAGTGCGCCTCGGCCAATTTGCCACACTGATGTCTCTTGGGTTTCTCAGTCTCTGGCGTCTCCAACTTTTTGTTGCAGCAGTAACAGCTGGGCAACTTCCTGAGCATTCCACGGGCACTGGAGCGCACCGCAGTCGGTTTGACTACGTCAACGGCTGCAGCGTCCGTACAAGACGGCTTCACGCCACCTCCAGCGCAGAGAGAATCCACGGGCTTGGGAGGTTTGTCTGTGTCCTCTGGTTTCAGTTTTTCTTTCTGCCTGGATTTCTTGTTAGGCAAACAGTCCATGGGATAGTAAGGCCCACACAGGTCGCCCAAGTCTTTATAATTGGCGGGGCAGCGGCACAAGCAGCAAAGGAGACAGCCAGAGCTGACCGATTTGCACACTAAAGGTCCCAGCTGCATCCGGGAGGAAGAGGGCAGGCTGCCTTGGTTGGCAAATGTGACAGATTGAGACACCGAGTGAGCTGCGCTTCTCTCCTTCAGTAACCGAGTCTCTTCCCCCGCAGTATTTATTACAGTGCAGGTGGTTTTAAACTTATTTTTTTTCTCCACCTGAATGTACGGTGTGAAGAGTCGGACTCGATTTTCTGCTCTTACCGGTTTGGCCGATACATACTTCAGCTTGATTTCAGGTTCCTTAGGTGTAATGGGAGGTATGTTATGTCTCTTTCCTCTTCTCTTGCTCCCAGGAGTTTGACTTGTGGACTTGTTTTGAGAAGCACACTTGCGTTGCCTTTTGTTGTAGCCATTAAAGGTTGGATGCTTTGCTTTTTTTCTGGCCCTTGTTTGTGTCAAGGCCTCTTTAGCTGCCTCAGGAATAGCGGAGCCCTCCCCGACTGCCAACTTTTTGCACTCCTTGGGTCGATATTTATTGGCTAGCAAAGATTTTTTTCCCGACAAGGACTTGTCTTTTGAAGTCAGAAGCACCGAAGAAGCCGCTGCTAGTAGTTTTTTGACAGCCGTTTTGGAAGTGCTCTGAGAACTTTTCGACCGACCTCTCCTGAGCTTTGTTTTAGCGACTGCATTTAGTTTTTTGGAACCTATGCAGTTCCTCTCTGGTTTTGCCACTGGCCGTTCTCCATGCAGAGAATTTGAAGTCAGTTTTTTCTTGTGGTAAGATTTACCTTTGAAGGACCTATTGCCACCTCGGCAGCCAACAGTGTGCATTTCAGCTTCTGACTTGGGGGATACAATTTGTACCATATCCTGAGTCAACAACTTGGCTTCGGAATCTGCTATCACTAAACTATTATCTCTCAGCTCTTTGTCTTGACAAGGAAGGATCAAAGTATTGTTAATAACTACCCCAGCATTAACAGCCCCTCCTTGTTTCTTCTGGTTTGGGGATGTAATCTTTTGTACTATTGCCTCCATTTTCAGTCCTCTGCCTTTTCTGGGTGGCAAAACCTTTGTTTTTATAGCTCCGTGATAAGATGACCGTGAAGTCATTTTTAGGCAAACTTCAGGCGCCATTCTGATGGAAGGCGAACTTAGGATGACTTTGCAAGCTTTCTTGGAAGCAAGCTTTAACTTGACTTTTTCCTTTTTGACGGGCTTCATTTTTTTGAATAAATTGGGAGGGTTCTCCGACTTTTGTTCCTTTCCTGTCTTTTTGCTGCGTATAATCAAGTTTTTCTTTTTGGCTGGGACAGGTGAAATGAAGCTCGATTTCCTCTTCAGAGAATGCAAAGGCCGCTCTGGGTTCTTCACGGTTATTCCGACGCCTGAGGTTGCAAGTTTCATCCTTTTCCTTATTTTCGGCATTATTGGAAATGTGTCAGCGGCTGCACAGTTGTTGGTTATAATCTTCTTTAAAGATGTACGTTTCTTGAGCACAAAATTGATACCTCTTTTCCCTCTTCGTCTTTTGGCTGGAAATAACTCCTGCTTCTTGTTACGAGACCTCAAAATCATGGACTGTTCATCCTTTAGGATGCTCATTTTTTTCGATTTCGGACCAGCACCGAGAACAGAAGGCTGTTTATTTTGCAGTGCCGGTGTTTCCTGGTCAGTCGGTGTCGGCATTATTTTCCCATTTTTCCCACCTCTCCTTCCAGTTTTATAAGGGGCCCTCTCTTTTTCCCCGAATGCTCCTCTTTTACTACATTTTTCATGATGTGGTGCCTTCAAGGGTAACCCTGTGTCACATTCTTGCAATTCCACTTTGGCTGTGGAGGAACGAGTGCACATCCTTGCTGGTGTAGATCCTTTCACGGGAGCCTTGTCAACTTGAACTGCTGTTGTGACATTTAGACTTTGTGTCTGAATGATCTCATCTTGGTTCCCACCTTTGTCACTACTTTCAGATGGTTTCTGCACAGACATTTCGGCTACCTTTGTTTCTGCTGCTTTGCACCTTCGACCACGTTGAGGTTTCTTCACAAGTGGTTCTTCATCCTTGAGGGTTGGCTGTTCGTTCGTTGCTTGATGGTCAACCATTACTGCTTCCTCTGGCAGGATTGAGGCTTCTACTTTTTCAGCTTCTATTACCTCCGACTGACTTCCATTGCAGACTTCCACAGTCTCTTTGTTGCTCTCCTTTGTGTCCTCCACTGCTTTGATGTGTGGCAACGTAGTTTCAAACCAGCTGTTTACTTTGGACTCTGTCTCAACAGTTGGACCGAGCAACATGATTGAGCTGTTTGACAGCTGGGAAGATTCAACTGAAGTCTCTTTCTCCTCGTTGATTGGGTTTTCAATAGACTCGGGTGTATTGATGGAAGATAAGGCTTCAGAATCCCTCACCTCCTTTGGGAGGGATTCATCATCTATGAGAGACTTTCTTTCCGAAAAGTCGCATAAAGAAGAATAGTCTTCTGGCTCCAAGTTGGATTCTTTTTGGGATGGGAGATCAGGGATGTCTTGAAATTCATCTTCGGTGTAACAATCTCTGGTATCCTCCAACCACCTCTCATGGTCAGTTTTGCCATCATCTGTGTAGGTCAACTCTTCTGCCCCTTCTTTGTTAAACTCTTCTCCAGAATCATTTTCCAGAGGTGTTTCCACATCGGGAACATCAAGCTGGCTATCGACTTTATTCTCCTTGTTTTGAAACAAGCCCTTCTGGAGATCTGAATGAAGTGTCAGCTCAATTTCTTTCCACCTGAGACAAGACTCTGACATGTTCTTATCTGGCCATTCAAAGGGATCAGAACACTTTGGGGTTGTGTTGGCCAAAGTATTTGAGTAAATGACATAGCTTGAGCTAGACGTTGCGTTCTCAATGTTTTTTTCGGTATTCAAATTGACAGATTTTTCAGGGGTGTCTGCAAGTTTTGTTTGCACTGTTGTAAGTTCATTGAACTCGCTGTCATTCTTCATCTGCGTTTTATCTGGCATAACTTTCTTCAGAGGAGCCGGGATTACTTGTGGAGCCCCCTGGCCTGACCAGGTATTCTTAACGACAGACTCTACACACCTGTGATTTTCCAGGTTAAATGGAGATTTCTGTGAACTGTTTAATTCTGGGGAATCAGCCCAGGCCTTCTCTGCTTTCTCATTATCTATAGCATCTTGAAGAGCAATGATCTCAGAAGATAACTCCTCTTGGGATAGGGCATTAACCAGTAAATGAGGACACTCCCTTTCGCTACTCACTAACTTAGCAAAAGTCTCTAGAGGAAGGCCAGTATGGATACTTTGAAATGAATCATCAGATTTTGTAGACATATTATCAGGTGACGTTACAGAACAGGTGGAGATAGACTCAGGTTTCATTTTGGTACTGTTGGCCCTCCCAGGGCTTCGTCCTGGACCACAGTACATGTAGTTTCTCTCCAGCTGGTCCTCAGAGCCACTAAGGTAGTCAGTATCTTGCATTTCGGCATGAACAGACTGTGGCGTTCCTAGTGTTTCGGACAGAGGCGTGCCCATTGGTTCAGAAGAATATGCACTGCTTTCAGAGCTACAATGTTGCGTCTTCATTGACTCTGGGGTCCGGGGAGAAGATTTAATCCCTTTCTTTTGGGGCATACCAGACTTGGACAGAAGTAGCTGTTGGACAGTACTGGAGATGTTCTCCACTTGGGAAGTGAGGGCTGTAAGGCTCTGCAGACTGAGGTCAGAAAGCAAAGTCTCTGGGATCTTGTCATTTTGTAGGCTTTTAGTCTGTGACTCTGGGCTTGAAGTGCCTGTGGGTGAGGGATTAAGAAGAGGCATGTAGTGGCTGTGATCAGAAATACCCATAGGAAATGTATTAGGATTATGCTGCTGCTGCTGGTTATACTGGAAGTTTTCCAGGTTTGTCATGAGAGGAGATGGTGTAGAACTGTAAGATGGGGATCTACCCACTGATCTGGCCGGGGAATGGCTGGCGCTGGGACTAAATGGTTGGTAATACTGTTCTGGTGTCCTACTGGGTGCTTCAGGCTGGCAGTATGCTTGGCCTTGTTGGCTATAATGTTGCCCATGGTATTTTGCCATGTTCTGGTAGTGCAAAGATTCCTGCGTGTGATGCCGCTGTGATTGTTCATAGGAACCCATTCTAGGTGCCTGGTAACCATGCATGGCTTGCACCCTTTGGCCAGCAGTAACCATGGTGCGCTCCTGTGAAGGGTTAGAAGGGGCAGTGCAGCTCTTGAAGGTGTGAGAGATGGGGCTGCCTGCTGGCACTGAAGAGTAGGTAGAAGTGGGAAAATTCTGATTAAAATGGGGAGACTGGGGGAAGGGGAGAGGGGACGATGGGATGTCGTTTTGTACTTTTTGCCTGGGGAGCTTGGGGTAGGTAAGACTAGGCTGCTGTGGGTGGTGTAGAGCGTGCGAACGGAATGACATTTGCCCAGAAGGGTCCTGGTACCCCCTTCCTTCTGCAGGAGTCTTTTTGATCACATTTTCCTCATATTTTGCCCCACTCAAAGCCGGAGTCTGCCCCCAGGTCTGCAGGCCATCTTCCGTGGAATACTGTGCAGGGTACACATTGGCTTCAGGGAAACTGGCAAAGGAGACCCGGCCCTGCAGCTGCTGGACGTTAATGTGCTTGTCGCCCCGGGGGTATTTTTCCCCAGAATTATTCTCATAGCCTTGGTAGGGCGTCTGAGTATAGTAGCCTTTGGTCATCTGTCTCTGACGCACGCAGTTGAGCCCAGGCTGACTTTGATGCCTGTAATTTTCCAGGCGTGAGGAATCCTGTGAAGATGGTTGGTAGTTCTGCTGGTTGCCGTGGAAACCACACCTTTCCCGAAAAGACTGCATGACTCGGTCTTGTTATCTGTAGGAGAATAAAATAGAATATATCAGTCGATTCGGAGGCAATTTTATTCATATGCTACAATTCTTACCCCACTACCCATTAATTGCTGATTCTTACAGACTCGACATCGGGAACTGAACCGTAAATCTCGACAAATCACCCAAATTGGGGTTTAGAAACAACGGTAACTGAATAGGATTACTATGTGACCATTGAAGTATACAGTCCGTGTGAAACGCTCTGATGAAATTTGATTTTGCCATCTCATGCTCACCACGCACACAAGGCTTCGGGCTCGTTAAAAGTGGTCCTCATTTTCAAAGGGTCAGGAGAAGGATGGGTGGGTGCTGCCCAGTGCCCATTGCAACCGGATGCCCTCTTCCCACCAAGAAAGGGTTTTTCAAGCATCAAGCACTATTTAAAATTGTCCCTGCTTGCACTCGGTAGTACAATGCAGTCGTTCAAAGTGGACAGGCAGCGGGCTTGTCATTGCAGAAGACATGCTTTGCCTCTTCTGCAATAAAACCTTCTTACCTACCTATTCACAAGTTTCTGTAGAATATGCTGAGCATGCGCTCAGTGTACATTGTCAAAGTGCCTAAGTGCCAGGAGGAACTACCTCCCGCATGCACAGAAGCTATGTCATCCCGGCCAAGATAGCTGAAGATTCCCAACCTGGAAGAAGATTCCAGGTTGGGAATCTTCAGCTATCTTGGCCGGGATGACATAGCTTCTGTGCATGTGGGAGTTAATTCCTCATGGCACTTAGGTACTTTGACAATGTACACTGAGCCGCGCATGCTCAGCATATTCTACAAAATTGCATTGCTCAGCATAATTTTTCCTAAATTGTTTCAATTTTCATCTTTTTATAGACCCAACCATCTTCGTTTTAAAGAAGCAACTCATGCTTCAATACTCACACCCCCTATGGTGCTTTTCCCTGCACACTTACCCCATCCAGTGCCACTCCAACCCACTTCCTTTGAAGGCAGGGCATCACGGGCCTGAACCCTGGAAGGGGGGTGTCACTACAATGCCCTGCACCCACATACAAGTAAGGACAGAATGGCGATCAGCTACTCTTTTTGTGTCATGAGGACGGCCTAGTCCTGGAGAAGAGGCTAACAGGAAGAGGATGATATGACCAGCCTGAACAAGGCACGCTTAAAATAAATACATGTAGAAAGGAGGATTTGGGATTTCCTGATAGGTCAAAACTATACCGTCCATGGGCCAGCATAATGCCCTACAGACCTAGTGGGTGGGCCACTTATATATACACCCTTTGCAGATATATGCAGGTTCCTTTGCTACATTTCCCAGAGTGCACTGCCTGAGTCTCCCTAATTTTCATTGGTGCTCCAGAAAAGTGAGGAGCCGCTCATCTCAGAAAATGGTGGGTTGTCATGTTATATTTGGCCCATCGTCATCCTCCATGCAGTACATCAGACAGAGCATATGTTCCCAAGAAAGAAAGTCTTTTCCATGAATCCACCAAGCTCTTTTTCTTCTCTACCTCGAGCAACAACGTGCCGAGCTAGGAAATACATTTCCTCCAAAACCCGAGATGAACTTTGTGACGGCAGACAGCAAACCTCAGACATTTCAGCTGACCACTCATATACGTGCTGGGATCATTCCCCGTGCCAGGAATGTGTTGATATCTTCCAGAGGATCGTAAAGGCCATCGCTGAGATGGCACGATGACACGCTACCCAGGAATATCAACTACAGGCTACATACATAGATAAAATACATATCCAGTCTGGATATTTACACAGCCCTGTCTGGCAACTGCTGCAGTTCAGTAACATTACTGGTCTCCTTCCTACCCTTAGCCTGCGACTGTACAGTGAAAGGAGAAGGAGCGGACTGGTAAGCTTGTCTCTCTCGTCCTATCAGCATGTTCCTCGTTAGCACATGAGCACTACAGTACAACTGAATGGCTCCTTGCGTGGCTTATCTCACAGTCTCAGCTCTGCTGTACATGGACTGCAAGGGTCTGATACCAAACAGGATCTGATGCTGAAACAGGGCGCATTCAGATTACTGCGGTATGTTCATGAACATGGCTTAAGGTGAATTGCATGAAGAAAGTCCATTCATTTGAATGCGCTGCCACGTGCAGAAAAGCAGATCTAGATGCAGCGCACCACAACGCACGGTAGTACATTACTGTTCATTGGGGTGATCTGCAATGTATAAATGGATGACACTGCAAAGCACAACACATACAATGTACATTGCTGTGCGCTGTGCTAAGTTTAGAGCAGAACCAGCAGCTATCTTGCATTCAGGAGGCAATGCTGCCACCTTCCGAATCATGCATTTGGGGGGACTTTTCATCGAGCTGCCCAAGATTTGGCATGTGGTGGTCCTGTAGGTATCCTACCACACTCCTGACCGGTAAGGAGTCAGATGTGTGCTGAAGTGGCTGCGGATGGCGCCGCTTGAATCCAAGGAGTACAATATGTCACCAGCACACCAAGGATCTGTGTCCAAAAGGTCTTCACTGACGTAGATACATTTTGACACGTTTCGGGGCCGCTTAGGGTCCCATCATCAGGCCTAATATGATGCAGTTGTGGCACGGTCCCATTCACCTCTATGGTCATGTTGTATCATTTGCGCCGCGACACAACGTCAGGCCGCAATCCTACCATTGCAGAGGCACCTGGGGAGCAGATCAACCTGATTTTACCGCCCCCGAGGCCTCAATACCGTGTTGACCCCAGAACAGGGTTTGTTGATTCTCACAGACAATCTAGAGCCGGGGTGGACACACTCCGGCCCTCCATCTGTGGTGCATCTGCAAACCCCATTAGGCATTGCAAGACTCTGACAGCCACGGGCATGGTAGTTTGCACCACAACTGAAGGGCCGGAGTTTGCCTGCCCCTGATTTAGAGAATAAGGCCGTCGGCAAGGGGTCCTGGCAGCTGCACAAGATGAAAGCGGTATAAAAATTGGAGCCGCTCAGCGGGTAGGTCACATCTGGCTTCAGATAAATATAAGCGCCACGTCCGAGTGCCGTATACCACTAAAACACTGGCAGGTAGGTAATTGTGCAGTGCCAAAGAAAGTAGGAAGAGCATGCTGGGACCGGCTTTCTACATACACGAGCGCGGTCACTTATCAGGTCCGGGGTCTATGGCGGTCCCCTCTGTGTGGCTTCTGACGGGCTTGTCACATCGGCACCTGTGGCCCCTCATTAGCTGAGGTTACCTAGTACTCCTTTAGAGCTTGCCATGATGGGAGCGACCCCTCTCCCTCCTCCTCTTCCTCCAGTGCTCAATACTTACCTTATCCCTCACTCCAGAAGGCTCCCTCCATCTGCACGGCCGATCCCCCCAAGCCTCCTCTCTAGGGTGCTCCAGGCCGCGGTTGCACACTTGATTTCTTCGTCTACAGAGCAGGGCTAATAGTTCTGCATTATACGCGATGACGGCACAGAGAGTGTCAGGGAGAAGAGAGTGTCAGGGAGAAGAGAAGATCTGAAGATAGGTCACCAGGACTCCAGAATGCAAAGCACAGTGACAGCCTGTGACGCCTTGAGGAAGGGACTTTGCGTGGCCCCGAAACATTGGCAATTTTGACTTAAGTCAAAACGCCCCGATACTAAACACCGATACTTTAAATGTAAGCGGCTGCCTAGGGTTCCGGGCTTGCTGGCGACCTCGGCAGCCTTCCTGTGAACCGCAGTGCCTGTTTACAGAGTTGGCCACACATCTCTTCCTCCTTCTCGGGGAACCCTCAAACCCTGGAGACATCAGGCTGCCACCCCGGAGTATGTAGCTTTATATTATTCTGCATTGCTGAATAATGTATTGCTGGAATTTGTGGTCCTCTATAGCTGATGGTATTATTCTGCATTGCTGAATAATGTATTGCTGGGATCTGTAGTTCTCTATAGCTGATGGTATTATTCTGCATTGCTGAATAATGTATTGCTGGGATCTGTAGTTGTCTATAGTTGATGGTATTATTCTGGATTGCTGTGTAATATATTGCTGGGATTTGTAGTGATCTATAGCTGATGGTATTATTCTGCATTGCTGTGTAATGTATTGCTGGGATTTGTAGTCCTCTATAGCTGGTGGTACTCTGCATTGCTGTATAATGTATTGCTGGGATTTGTAGTTCTCTTTAGCTGATATTTTTCTGCATTGCTGTAAAATGTATTGCTGGGATTTGTAGTCTCATATAGCTGGTGTTATTCTGCATTGCTGAATAATGTATTGCTGGAATTTGTGGTCCTCTATAGCTGATGGTTTTTTTCTGCATTGCTGTGTAATGTATTGCTGGGATTTGTAGTGATCTATAGCTGGTGGTATACTGCATTGTTGTATAATGTATTGCTGGGATCTGTAGTCCTCAATAGCTGGTGGTATACTGCATTGCTGTATAATGTATTGCTGGGATTTGTGGTCCTCTATAGCTGGTGGTATTCTGCATTGCTGTATAATGTATTGCTAAGATTTGTAGTCCCTCTACAGCTTGTAGTCAGTGGTAGAATTACCAGGGTTGCAGCTGCGACCAGGGCCACTGTTCTAAAATCATTAGTCTGTATTGTTTTAGTAAAAATGTCACATGACACTAAAAAAAAAAAGGTATCAGTAATTAGCATTGGCGACTACTTGAGGAAAAGAATCGGTACTCGTACTGGAAAAAAAATTTTTTGCCGCAGCCCTAGCGTATATACAAATGGATAGACAAAGCACAGCTACAAAGTGCAAGCGATCGGGAGAGCAGCTTCCTATGAACTTGGACTCACCTGCTCAGTGATTTGCAACATGCAGTGCAAGGATTGGTGCAGACCGCGCACCCCTTAAGCTCTGTCACTCCGCGTGGGCCCGTGTTGACAAGGAAATCCGAGCAGCTTTGGCTGTTGAAAAGGAAGCAAGTCTTTTCCACAATCGCGGTGTGAGGCTTTAGCTGAGTGAATGGAGCTGCAGATTAGCTATTGTGCGGAGAATAAGCCGGTTACCAGCCAATCCTCCGGCGCGGCGGGCGGGC